TAAAAAAAAAAAAAAAAAAAAAAAAAAAAAAAAAAAAAAAAAAAATATATATATATATATATATATATATATAGTTTTTTATTGAATTGCTTTAGAGTTACTTGTCACCTCAAGAAATTCATCAGGGACAAAGTGTCTCGTCTCCTTATTAAAAGTAACTCGTGAATATAATAACATTTCCAATTAAGATCATCGATTATTCAGTATGTCCCTGTTTGATTTTGTGAAAAAAAAAATTTTTATTTTATTTTATTTTATTATTATTATTTTTTATAGTAGATTTAGATAAGAGTTGATGAAAATGTGTGATTGAAAAGTTGATAAAAATTGTAGGTACCATAAAATGTATGATTAAAATTAATTATTAATTTTAACTTAAATTTATCAACTTTCATTGCTAAACTAAACTGAGCTATATATGTTTATTAATTGAGGTAAGGTAATGCAACTAAATCTCTTAAAAGTTGTAGCTACGAGACCCTCAAAATATACTCAGGCTTTGGTTGGCTTTACTTAAAATTTCTTACAAATTACACCAATCTTCATGTTTGCGTCATTCTATGTGTCCTCAGATGAATCGAAACTAAACTTAAATCTCGGGTTCCAAGGATAATGCAATCAATGCTTCCAACAACCCTAGGATAAGAGTTATAGGTTGTTTTACGAGGGAAATTGTCTATTGTTAATTGGTAGAATCAATTACAGAGTTGAGAAGCCGTTGTTTACCCTGTAGTGAGCGTCAGCGGTTCAAATCAATTGTCAGCCCCTTAAAGGTTGACAGGGGCGATGACATGGTTTCACGGGGTGCCTTGCTTCTTGGCACAGAAAGGAACATCGTGCGGCAGTAGTCTGCTCTACTATATTACTTTCCACCTTTTCTCGGTCGCGTCGGGACGAAAGAAAATTTGATTGTAATTTTGTAGAAAACTTACAATAGAGAATTTGAATACATTAAAAATAAATTAAACATTGATTAATAAAAACTGAACATTACAATTGATGAAAGTAGAAAATTACAAATGCTGGTGCAGGGGGCGAACACCAGTGAGTTTGAAAGATTTTTGAATGACTAATATCCCCTATAATAGCATTCTGAACAAAAAACTAAGTGACAAGAGTAGACGTTTAAAAGACGAGGAATCATACTAAACGTTTACCAATATCAGAGTTATTTTACAACTGAAATAACTATTATAATGAAAAGAAAATTACAACTCAAACTTGAAGTAATATTTACAATGTGCGGTAGAAGTTGGGCAAACTGCGGCTGCGATAGTGTCAAGGGGATAAGTAAAGTTGCAGTCCTTAACATTCTCCCCCATTTGTTTTG